ATATATATATATATATATACATATATATATATATGCCAAAAATGTATACACACTTCAGGAAAAGGAACTAGTATGATGCTTTCTTAACAGATCATGTTACCCTTGTGTGATTGACCCTATAGAATGTTATATATCACAGAAAACCCACTATACTGCCCCAGCCCTTAGAGAAAGAATTGAAAATGCGTGTACAGCAGTCTCAATGACCAAGATTACCCAAGCAGCAGTTGGCTGTACCAATAAATGTTTGGAAGCTAATGGCTATCACTCTTGTAATTGCAGAGGCCAAAGGTAATGTATTAATCTCACAATGTCTCAATAAATTTAGTATTCAAATATTTATACAAGTTTTTCTTTATCTAAAGTGTGTATACATTTTTTTGTGAATTCTTTATTTCTCCCTCCTACTCCCCCTTCTCTTTCTCTCTACATATATATGTATATCATATATACATACAAAGATATCTATACCTCATCTATCTATCTCCCATGTTTAAAAGGATTTTTTTGGGTAGAAACATTGACTAGAGGTGACATTCAGGTCTTTGAATTAATGAAAGAAACTGGGCTCACCAGGTTCTTATAATTTTTAAAAAAATAGGCAGAAGTATTATTTGTGTCAGAAATTAAAAAAATATATAGATAAGAATAAGAAGTGGCATTTACTTTTAAATTACCTTTTCCTGCATTTCTTTATCATGCTTTTGCTGTTATCTCTGAAATATCTAAAGATAAGCAACCTTAGTCAAACATTATTTTATTGATTTATTTATTTTTATTTGTTTTTGATTTTTGAGACAGGGTCTCACTTTGTAGTTGAGACTGATCTAAAACTCACTATGTAGCCCAGGCTGGTCTGGAACTCACAGTGACCCTCCTGCCTCAGCCTCCTGAGTGCTGGAATTACAGGCGTGCGTCACCATGCCCGGCAGTCACACTTTAATATGATTAGTTTAACTTTTTTATTTGACAATGTAAGATTGGGCTCTTAAACTGTGGTATTTTAAATCTCTTAGTGTCTTATCTGGAACCATTAATACGAACTCTACAAAAGCCAGATTGCTGGGGTAGGTAAGTTGAAAGATAAGTAAATATTCTAGATTTTTCTAAAAACGTTTAGTATGTAGAGTTGATTGCCTTCTATGGTTAAAGAGGCCAACAGAAACACTGGAGGAATCAGAGACTCAAGCTCAGGAGTCAGTGATGGCCACCTCTGAAAGATACAGACCCCTTGGGTCAAACAGAGAGCTTGCTTCCATGTCTCTGGTTTCCCCTTTCACTAAATTTATCGTAATCCTTTTCACTGCCTCCTCTTCCTTTATCAGTGCCATTGTTTTTAGGGTTTTTCAGAGGTCAACCTCATCTCCCTCTACATCCACTCTGGGACAATCTTACCCATCTCCATGACTCCAGATACCACCTGGAGGACAAAGACTTCTCTGGTCACCACCGTCACTGGTCTAGCTCTCTCTTCCGACGTACAAGTCTCTTGTGAATCAGCCCTTTGCTTGCCTTTCTTTTCTTCTTTTAACTTGATTTTTAATCTATAAAATATAATAATGATAATAATAGATATTTAGGAGACATAATGTGACATGTATATCAAGTTGAATGGGTTAAAAATAGTCCAGGTTTTTGTGCATAACAAGAAAAGAATTGCCAAGTGTATACTTGGTAGTAATTATTGAGTAGCTATGTTTATTGAAGATCATGGGATGGTAGCAGCAGGAATAGGGAGAGGGCAAAGGAAAAAAGGAGGAAGAGGAACCCTTGAAAACTCAGGCTTTCAGTATTTAAAGGGCCAGACACCTCTTACTCTAGGTCCCTTTCATTTTGGGCAGACACAAAATGACTCCAGAGGCCTCCCATTCTGTCACTGGTGTAGGTGAACTGCTGCCTTGGGCATCAGGACCTCCTAAACTTAGACATGGACAATCATTAAGGTGGTATTGTGTTTATAGTTGAATGAAGGGAAGGGAGTGGCTGCCTCAACGTCCCAGTTTCTAACTACTATGTGAACATTGGGGAACATTAGGTTAAGTGAAGTAAGTTAGGAACAGAAAGACGAACGTTCCATTGTCTCTCTTACAATGTGGAAATTACAAACACTGAGCTCATGGATAGAGAGTAGAATGGTTGTTGCTACAGCATAGAAAGTGGTTAGGGAGAGGTAGACAGGGCAGAGGGGAAAGATGTTTGTCAAATGGTACAAAGTTTCACTAAGGAAAAAGTTGATTACTATGAATGTAAATATCAGAATTGCTGAAAGATTGGATTTTATATAGAAATGTGTGTTGACTTTGCTTATTATAACCTGCTGTTTCAAAGCCAGTAATGATGAAGCGGGTAGGTGATGAATGAGTGTTACAGTCGAGTGGGCCAAAATTAGTCCAGGTTCTTGTGCACAAGGAAAGAATTGCCAAGTGCACATCTCACAGTATGTAGTAACTACACTTATGGAAGAGTACAGGACAGTAGCAGGAACAAGGAGAAGAACAAAAAGAAAAAGAGGGTGAAGGGGAAAGGAGATTTGAAGGTGAAAGGAGAAAGGGACTTGAGTGCGGACAGAAAAAAGGGGACTTGCTAACTCAGGCTTCAGGTATTTGTAGGGTCCTAAGGTTTTGCTTACAGTGGTCAGGCTTAACCCTTGGTAAGCATTAGGGTGGTTCTAAATTGAAGCCAGGGTAATTGTTAGGGTGGTGTAGCACTTACAGTTCAATGAAGGGGAGGGAGTGACTCAGCTCCCTTGTTTCTAACTGTATTATGAGGACTAGTACTCTTCTGGTATAGACTACGCGACTTAAATTTACTTTTAACTAGAAATTCCACTGCTAGGAATTTACACTAAAAGATTATCCTAATAATTGGAACCAAAATATATTTATAAGGGTCTTGATATATTATTAATAATATAAAAACGTGGAGACTCCTTTTTAATGGAATATGAAGTATAAATGTTAGGAGGTGTGATTGAAATGTATGATGAATATTTAAATAAAATTTATTAAAGTAAAAAAAGTCATCATTGATCTCCCTCAAAACAGGGCCCACCCCATGCTTTGAACACACTTATCCCATCATTCTTGCTGTTTTCTGCTTTTTTTCTCATTGAATTTATTGGTGCATTTTAGGTATACAGTATAGTTGCATTCATCATTGGGATCATGTACATGACTAGTCTTGGTTCTCATTTTTTCCCCTTACTCTTGCCCTCCATTCATCTCCTCCTCCCTTCCCTATTTACAGATACTTTATTTCCATTTTTTCATTTTCTCGTGTTTTTTTCTTTTCCCTTATTTCCTTTTTCCTACCCTTCCCACTTCCCCTACACCTTTAGCCCTTTTCTTCCTATTTCACATTGCCAATTATACCATTAGGATCTTATGTACCATTATAGTTTTTCACACCAGAGAAACTATTCAGTATTTATACATGTGTGACTTATTTATTTCCCTTAGAAGTATATCCTCAATATGTATCCATTTTTCTATGAATAAATCTAATTTCCATTTCATAGAAAACCACATCTTCTTTATCCAGTTTCCAACTGATGGGCAAATGGGCTGTTTCCAAGTTTTAGCTATTACAAACTGTGCTGCTATAAACATAGGTGCTCATATATCACTGTGATATGATTCTTTTAATTCTTTTGGAAAGATTCCCAGCAGAGGGATGGCTGGGTCAAATGGAACCTCTAACCCTAGTTCTTTGAGGTATCTCCAAATTGATTTCCACAGTGGTTGCACCAGTCGGCACTCCCACCAACAATGGAGAAGGGTTCCTTTCTCCCCACAGCCCTGCCAACATTTGTTATTGTGTGATTTCTTGATAGCAACCATTCTTTATGGGGTGTGGTGGAATCTCAGTGTTGTTTTCATCTGCATCTCTCGAATGACCAGTGATGTGAAACATTTTTTCATATATTTACTTGATGCTTTTACTTCTTTGTCTGAGAAATGTCTGCTCATTTCAGATGCCCATTTTTGAATCGGGTCTTTATATTAGGGGCGGCTGAGTTTTTTGAGTTCTTTATATATTCTAGATAATAGCCCTTTGTCTGAGGAGCACCTGTTAAATTTTTCTCCCACATTGTAGGTCATCTTTTATTCCTGTTGATGGTTTATTTTGCAGTGCAGAAACTTTTTAATAAGATGAGATCCCCATTGTTGATGCTTTCTGCTAGTTCCTGTTCCACCAAAAGACTTTTAGACTTAATTGACACTTTCAGCAGAGTAGGTGGATACAAGGTCTATACTCAAAATTCAATAGCCTTCTTGTACACAAATAACAGGCTTACTGAGAGAGAAACTGGGGAAACAATTCCTTTCACAATAGCATCCAAAAAAATGAAGTATCTAGGAATCAATCTAATGAAAGAAGCAAAAGACCTCTACTTTGAAAACTACAGCACTCTGAAAAAAGAGATCAAAGAAGCTATAAGAAAATGGAAGGATATCCTCTGCTCCTAGGTAGGAAGACTCAACATAGTGAAAATGGCCATACTGCCAAAACTGCTATACAGATTCAATGCAATACTGATTGAAATTCCAACACTATATTTCACAGAACTAGAAAAAATAATCCAAAAATTCATTTGGAACCAGAAGAGACCTAGAATAGCAAAAGCCATCCTAGGAAACAGAGACATGGCAGCAGGTATAACGATCCCCAACTTGAAACTATACTACAAAGCCACTGTGATAAAAACAGCATAGTACTGGCAAAGAAACAGACCTGAGGATCAGTGGAATAGATTGGAAGATACAGAAACAATTCTAGACATACTCAGCTACCTCATCTTTGACAAAAGAGCCAACCATCATCACTGGAGGAAAGATAGCCTCTTTAATAAATGGTGTTGGAAAAACTGGATTTCAACCTGCCAAAGATTAAAACTAGACCCTTATCTTTCACCACTCACTAAACTAAAATCCAAGTGGATTAAAGATCTAAATATTAAAAAAGAGTAACTAAAATTGCTGGAAGATAAGTTAGGCAGAACTCTGAAGACATTGGCATAGGAAAAGACTTTATGAACAAATCCTCAGTAGCACGGGAACTAGCAGAAAGAATCTTGCTGTTTTCTGAAGTTGTTCTGAAAGTTCTCTTTGGAGCGTGTCTTTCTTTACAGGATGTGACCAAAAATAAGGTGAATGCTACTTCCAAGTGCCATCTAAAACAAAGGCAGACTTGTTAAAACATTATGGTGGGTCCTTATCGACCTATTCACTGGATCTGGCCCCATGTGGCTTCTGGCTCTCCTCCAAAGTCAAAATGATCATGGAAGGTAAACATTTTGAATTGATTCAGGACATCGTGGCAGCCATGACAGCTCAGGGAAACACTCATGATAGATGACTTTCAGAACTGCTTCAGAATGATGAGGTAAGTGTGTTCAAAATGACGGGGGGGGCATTTTGTGAGGAGGCTGAATGGCAATGTCTTTTCCTGTGATCATTTTTTAAAAAAATTTAAACATTCACCTATTTTCTTTCCTACCTTCTATATAAGGGAGCCATTGAAAAGACCATGTGATTTCTGACTTCTAAGAGTAGTCATACACACATTCAGTCCTATAATCCATATTTTGTTACAGCACAGCAATTTCCTTTACTACTTTTTCTATCAATATCTCTGCCTCTGTTCAAAGGCCACACAGACAACCTCAGTAAAGGTAGGTGACTAATTGATGAACCAATGCAGCTGGTAGATCCGAACCAATGAGAATTCCATTATTTAAAGATTTTTGTTGCTTGTTTTGTTCATACCTAGGTGAACTCTGACATTCCTTTTTAAATATTAATTTTGTCGGTACACTGTTGATATACATAATGATCACATTTATCACAGAAAATTTGTGCCTGTGTGTAACGTATCTTGATTCTACTTTTCTCACCACTCTCTTCACCTCCATTCAAGCCTTCTTCCCCTCATTATTTACAAAAGCTTTGTTTCCATTTTCCCTTTGTATTTTTATTTCTTTTCCCTTCCTTCCCTTTCCCCCCTCCTTCCTCCCTTCCTGCCCTTTGCATTTGAACATTTTCTTCCTACTTCCCAGTATCTGTTA